TGGCCCCCCGCCATGTCGGGCCGGCACCCCACAGCCTCCGGTGCGGCCCTCCCTTGGTGGCAGCGCAGGGCCGGCCTGGGGCCATGGAGGCCTGGGGCCATGGAGGCCTAAGGGCCTAAACCTCCCACCTACAACTGGCCCCCTCCTCCAGCTCCTCCTTCATTAGCCTTCTCGGGGAAGCTCACGAGGATGCTGCCTGTGAGGATGCTCTGTCCCCAAGGCGTGCTGGAAAGCCACGTCTGGGGAGGCCACATTAATGACGCTAACATAAAGTGAAGCAGAATCAGATGTTTCTAAGCTCAGCGCATGCTGGAGGACAACCAGGAGGGCTCTGGCCTTGCCTAGGAGAGCGACAGCGGAAGAGAGAGACGGCAAGAAGAAGTCCCGTTCCCCTTCAACAAGGCTGCAGAGATCAAGCTCGATCCCAAGTTCCTCTTCCAGCAAAGGCAGCTGAAAACACCCCAGTTCCCCAAAGATCTTCCAAGCTCAGCAGAAAGGATGGGTGCAACAAAATGGGAATGAAGACAGGAGGTTTAGGAGGAGAGACAGAAACAAGGGTCAAGGATTCAGGATGCATTCAGACCCAATCCTCAGCTCCCCTAATAAATCACAACATAATTCAAGTGCCGGTGCATCCTGTTCTTTAAACTCTGACCCTACATTTATCAACGCGGAGCTAACAACTATAGCAGTAACCATCCAGGCAGCAGAAAAACCGAGGCGACCATAAAGAGGGGTATGAGCAATGATCAACAGGATGATGTTCAAGAAGAAGACAGACTCCCAGACTATATTATGCTGTAACAGCTCCAGTTGTAACACGATAGTGGAGTGGTCAATCATCGAAGAATACTCTGAGTTAGAAAGGACCTATTAGGATTGAGTCCAACTCCTGCTCTTCCTGGAGTTTGAGTACCATCGGGAAATAAATCAAACCACCCACCTCTATTAGACTAGAGGAAGAGGGCTCTGTTACCAGGACAATGACCTAAAGCCCATGAGAAAAGACCATCTAAACTGAAGGGATCTGGACAGGAGC